AGAATGTTGCCGGCATTCGTCCGGCATGCCCCGGCACGGTCGCCGTTGCCGAGCGGCGATGTGTCTTTATACCGTGCCGCGAGGTGCCGGCGGCACTGCCCGGCACCTTACCGGCGACCCCCGCTTTATCCGATGTAAATATCGTCCCGTATCTGAAGATCCAAATCCACGTGCGACAAGATCACAATCGACGGTCTGCAATGATTCCATTGTAAGGATAATTATCCAGTACGGACGCTTGTCAACGAACATGCGGCGTACCGGAACGACACCCGGCCCCATTCGATAAAGTACCAGGCAATTTCTTGTACCCTTGTTATCGAGTATTTTTCAGTCAACACACCTTTCGACCGAACCTTCAACATTAGCGTCTTACCCCTTTCCACCATTCACAGTAGGGCGCATCCATATGGAGGAGGTCACCCTGCCGGGAGGCCGGAGTGCCAGTTTTGAAGCGTGTACGGGCTACTTTGACCCCGATGTAAGCTGGCTGGAGGATGCCGCCAAGGAGAGAGCAGACCTCAAAATCACAGCTCTGGTGAAAAAAAGGCGAGAGACCAGCAGGAGTAACAAGGGCGTGCCGCCCATGGAGAGGAAGATTCTCAGAGGCAAATACCTCTTGGCGCCGCAACTTTGGAATGAGTATGCAGGCATAGTCTGCATTCCAGAGGCAGCTGCAGCTGACATTTGTGCACGGGTCCTGCCAATATACGCCAGGATTGTGACCGAGTGGGAGTGGTTACAGAGGAGAGAGGCGGAGAAGGAGTCCGAGGAGAATGCCTCGTATGAATTCGGTATATACGTCTGGGGCGACAAGGGTGACCGCGCCTGCATCCCCAACGGCAAGGTGGATGTCTTGGAGGAAGATGCCAACATATTCGGGATTATGGTCAATCTGTTCAAACCGGAGGTCAGGAAGCCCTTCTACAAGCACGCTGTGGATAGTGGTGAAGCTATCGAAAATAGAGAAGCGTTCCCCACCTGCCAACCCACTGGCTTAGAGGTGGAACGGGGATTCTATTCAGTCAGATTCCTCAGCCTGACCAGCCTGGTGGAAACCTACACGGGTCCTGGGGCGCGCGAGCTGCAGGGGTTGCTGCTGCGCTGCAAAATCCGAGCGCAGTATACGTGTATGTGCCAGGGCAGAGAGGCCCCCTCAGAATTAGGGTTCCAGCAACTCCCAAAGTCCGAGTGGCTCAGTAAGATCCAAGATGAACTGACGGAGGTCGCCGGCCGCGGGGGTGACTTTCCGGTGAAGTGGACGGATGCTGCTGGGATCCTGGGGCTGGATTTCTACTCCGATGCAAACATTGGAACGTGTAGGGAGCAGCTGCGGGACGCCGTGGCCGGTGCGAAGCAGGCTGGGCACCGAGTTGGCGCTCGCGGCGATGTGGAGATGTCCCTCGGCTGCCTCCAGGAGGTCTGCCAAGAGTGGAAGGGTTATCTCTTCACCAACAGAAAGGAGGACATCGCAGAGGGGTTCCGTCAGCTCAGTGGTAACGAGCTCGGATTTTCCCATCTCCTACACGAGCTGGTCAAACTGGACGCGCGCCCTGGAGAATTCAAGATCGGATGTGAGGATGTCTGCAGGATGATGGGCAGTCGCCCAGGGCGATTCAAGGCCAATTTTGCCAGGAACGTGCATGCCAGGTTGGAGGATGGGTTGTTTCAACAGAAGGGTTCGGCTAGCCCAATAATGCTCAGCATGGCAGGCTTCAAATCGTACTGTGAGTTTTTTCACAAGACGAGAACAGCAGAGGTAGAAGGGGCTTTTCAGCACAAGAACAAGAGGCAGAAGGTGTAGAGACATTTTTACATGTAAATGCATCGTGAACGAGAATCAGTATATATTTTTCCACTGGCTTTGACATGGGCATTTGGCATTCTTTGCTGTGTGTGGGCTTCATCGAAATTAGTTACTAAGTAGGCTATATTGGAGGTTGTAGGTACACCCCCTGACTTAACCTAGCACAGGAGTACTAGTCCCGCGGCCCTAGTTGCCGCCTGGCTTCCCGATCGCCCCGCAGCCTGGTTGGTTCGGCCAAAGCCGGCTCAACACTTCTCCTATACAAATCGCCGACCGCGTATACCGTCTTTTGTAGCTAGGGCCGCGATCATTTCCGACTCACCGGCAACGGTCCGACCCCCACAGTACAGGAGACAGTACAGGAGACAGTACAGGAGACAGTACAGGAGACAGTAGGGTTTTAGGGTTTTTAGGGTTTAAGGCTACGTGACCACAGTAAATGCTACGGTTTCGGGTCGGCGTGAATCTCCAACGATATGGACTCTGGACCTTTTACTGGCAGCGTGACGCAAATCTAACGAATTATTCACCTGTCCATGACCCGGCCCAACGGACATGAATTAGATTCTTCCTGGTAGTCTTTCACGTCAAGATGAGAAAGGGCAGGAGACGGGTACCAATTCTGAAGAGAGGTTTTGACAGTGAAAGAGACTCTTCCAAAACATCCCGCAACCAGACGCGCCAATCAAGTCTTTAAAGAAAGAGCTTGTTTGAGAAAGGGCGTTCTCACCCCTGGCTTTCAGCGACTTGAGGACGGGGCCCAGTTGCTGGTTGATGGCAAAGTGCATGGCGACGGCGCCGAGCAGGCCGGACCCGCACGCCTTGGCGGTGGCAGTCGCGAGATTGCTGCCGTCCATAAGGGACAGGAAGGAGAGACCGGAGACACCGGTGAATACCGCAATGGGCGCCGCTCGGCAGGCAGCCAGGCCAGGGCTGTCTGCCCGGTACACGAACTGCGGGGAGAGCGACGGGCCGACTCAGACACCATGGCGAGGTTTGGAGGCACTGGTTTGGTCGTTGGGAAACGACGGGATGGCTTGCTCTCAGTAGGAGAAGGATTGAGATTCGGGAGTTCGTCGCACAAAATCCGACATGCGAACGATTGTGTTGCAGGGGTTGCTGCGGTTTCAAGAAATAAGACACCTGCATTGTTGTCTAGCCAGAAAGAAATGGTTGTCCGACTTGCCGGATGCACGGTTGCCACACATTGTCAACGGTACGACCCTCTTTCCAGCTCGAATGAACAGTTCTCTTATTGTGTCAAACTATCAAGCTCATAAGGACCATTTTATGTCCACTCTTTACGCTCGCCGTAACCCGATGACCCTGGGATTCGAGTGAATCACAGTGACCTGGAACCTCAAGCCCCGACAAATTCGGTTTCTTCGAATCACTTGCATGGACAAGAAAAGATACCTAAGCAATCAAGAGTCTATCACGCTCTTCTCTGTTGCTCCGCCCTGAAGGCACAGATGACAGCTCACCGTTCGTATGCACTTTTGACTGCTCACCGTGCGTATGCACTTGTAGACGATGAACGACACGACGGCGCCGAGGAGCGGGGAGACGAGCCACGAACCGACCACCCGGCCGAAGGACCCCCAGTAGACCGCGCCAAAGCCGCCGTACACTAGGCCGAAACCGACCAGGGCACCGATGATGGAGTGGGTCGTGGAGACGGGCCAGCCGTAGTAGGACGCTACCTGGACCAATTATGAGAAAGAGAATGCCGTATTGAATACTCTGTTGCACGGGAATGGAGGCGGCTCTCCATTTGTTAGGTGGCAAGGAGTAGCGGGGGTGTTGAGAAAAAGGAAATGGAGCTGATGGTAGGAGTGGGAAAATCGACGCAAGATTCCACCTGAGTTACTCGGAAGACAGCGTTCACTTCACCTGTCGTCCGTTCCTGCATCCGTGTTCTGTGTGTTGAAGACTGTCCTTCTGTTTTGTTCGTCAAGATTCCTAACGGGCAATTGAACAGGTGCAATTCGTTCCCCCTAGGAAAGAGTATTGAAGAAGAATATTAATGTATACTTGAAGGCCGTATCGCCCGGCGTTTACAGGTGCAGTTTATGCTTACAGATTCAGAGCAAAGAGAATAGGGTAAGGGGTGAAGAAGAACTTATCACGAACATATTTGAAATTTCCTTGCAGCAGAAGATTGCGCTTACAACATCATGCAAGTTTTTAGAAGGACCATCTCTTCTAATGATTCAGACAGTCAAAGCTTTCAGCCACTCAAGCAACCTGGAAGGAGCCACTTGCCTGCAGCCACGTCCCAGATGACGCAAGGGACGCAAGCATGCCACAGAAAAGGAGAGACGGGTTGTGCTGAAAGGCTGCAGAGTCCACAATGCCCTTCTGCATGGTGTGGGTGACATGAGATCCAACCTGCAGCACAAGGGATTGCCACCAATGAAGAGACTTGATAGAGAGGACGAGTAAAATCTTGAAAATTAGTAACAAACCCTGCTTGCTACGAAGGCAAAAGGATGTACAATCTAAGGACACCACGCTCATCAGCTGGAGACGTGGGACTCCTATACCTGGCGGTGGTCGCCAGAGCACGGGTGCCAAACCGCACAGCGGCCCCTGGGAGGCGGCGACAACCTCGACTTACGAGGCATTATAACACCCTTTTACCCCGCACGCGGCATGACCCGAAGTGCGTTGCGAGGGATCGAACCCAGGTCACCTCGCAGGCATTGACGTCATCATTTCATCACCCAGTGAAGGGGAATGCTTGCTACGAAGGCAACATCAGTTTCAATGACATATACATGGTCCTTCGAGCATTCTGTCCAAGTGCGCACTCGAAGGGGAGTTGACAGGGACTGAAAACTTGCAATTATGGTACCTTTTCACAAAAACTGGGGCTCTGAAACTGAGTCCAGCACTGACTCCAAACCTCTGTCTACTTGGCAATATTGAAGGGATTGTGCCCTTTGGTGATACTAAACTTGGGGTCCTGAGATATCTGGCGAATCCAAATCTCTTTGTACGGTTGTCAGGCTTCTTCAGGCAGATACAGAAGAACAGCGCTTTACCTACCAGGGAGGCCCCTGCGAACTCTAGAACGGCCGCTACGATGATGGCCTGCTTGAGCGTCAGCGCACCTGAACCTACTGAGGTTCCCATTGCGTTTGCAACATCATTTGCGCCTGCGGGCAGGACAATACCGGTATGCTTCGTCAAGTTGCGTATTAAAGAAGGTGCCAGGATAGGATTTGATGAGGTATGTTCTGGGCGTTAGTTCTATACTCAGATACAGGGGGAGCCGCATCAATGCGAGCGAGCAGAATCTGCCAGGTTGACATTTGTTTCCCAGCCCTCTAAAGGACCACAACGAAGCAATCCTTGTCTATCATTTTGTTTCTCCAAGCTCCTTGGCTCAGATTTTCATCTCTCCAGTGGTAGCCCTACTTGAAGTAGAAATACATGTACAAGAAGTCCAGAACGTCTTGTGCAAAACACAGCGCCCCTAATACATACACTCGCTAAAGGTGAAACACAGTGCAAAGAACGGGCAACTCCTGTCTGCAAGACTTACCAATATTCCAGGCCATGTAAAACCCAAATAGCATGGTGACATATGCGAGGACCTTTGATCTCAGTGTCCCCCCCGCCAGCCCCAAAAACTGGCCAATCGCTGGATTTCTGAGCCCCACAGCAGGGACAGCAATTGCGGTTGCAGCAATTGAAAGAACAATGGTATTGACGGTGGCATTGGAGACGCCAAATGCCTCCGCCATCGAGAGCATCTTCTCCTCTACAGCCTTTGCAGGGTCAGACTCATCGTCCGAATGCACGTTGTCTGCAGATTGGAGCACAGTTCATTGGGAAAGGCTGGAGAACAAATGCCACCTGCTTGATGCGTGTTTTTGCAGGGACTCGGTGCAACGCTGCCCTTGCAATCGACAGGGGATCAGAAGAAAAGATACTTCAACCAAATTTTCTCAACCTGGGTTCAGAAAAGCTCTAACATATGCAGCCAGGGAGGAATGTTTGGATGAATGTGACCACTCCGAAGAGATCACTCCTCGGCTATTCAGATTGCAAGGGGCAGCAGAACTAGAAGCTCAATTTTAAAAAGGTAAAGCACTCCGATGCTGTATCAGCAAATTCCAGGGTGGTACATCTGCAAACTTTGGAATGCCTTTGCTGTAAAAGTTTGCAGGATTGCACTCTGATAAAAGCACATGGGTGCGTCAACATACCTGTTCCGGATGCGCTAAGCTTTGTAGCCTCCTCGACGAGGTCTTCAAAATGTTGCAGTTCATCATGATCAGGTGAGGCTCCTCCCCCTGCTGCAGCCCTGCACGGTCTCAAGTTTCTTCTCCCACAAACACTCTGAAGTTCAACAGTTTGCCGCTGCGGCCTCAATGCTGCTTTCAGACTGCTTCTTCCAGCATACAACTTGCCAAAAGCTGCGTTTTTCGTGCTTGATACTGCTCGACTAGTGCTGCCTTTTGGCACATTGCTGCACGTGCAAGGGCTCAAGCGTTTAACGCTCAGCTCTGCAACTGCCGCCATCAGAGCGATTTCCGCTATGTGAGCTAAACTACAGGATCCTCTTCGTCCATCAAATTGCTGGAAGTGGGGTTACAAGTCAGAGCTGCTGCAAAACACAGCAAACCAGCAATTTTTCAGGCACCTGCGCGCTAATCATTCTATGATTGCAAAAGGCTGCAGGGTTCTGTGAGCAACGCTCCGTTGAAAAATCATTTCACACCTCTTCAATGTCTTGCTGTGGCCCTCCAAATGCGGTGCTGTTGCCAACTCTATGCCTCCCTTCAAGTTCAATGTTAAGAAACTGATCTACGTTCGCCCCTGTGCAGCAATGCTGGCACCATGGCACACGAAGGAATCAGGAATCCCCTGCCGGGACGATTGGAGTGTTTCGAAGCCGTCGATGCTCGATCGAAGTAAAAACAACAATGGACGGTTTCAAAGCCCTGTACCAATAAGTATGAGCTACCTAGTATGCTTAGAGAATTTCAGACCGTTCGATTGAACTGCATTGAAATGGAGCCTGAAGCAACTAGCATGGTGCATGCGACTCGGAGCCATCGATCTGAAGGACGACCAGCAAACCAAATGAAGTTCACCACAAAAACCAGCCGCGCGATGGCCGCCACGTGTCCCCCCCCGGCCCGGAACAGCCCTTGCAGCAAGGCAATTGAAGTTCAGCATTAAAATTGAGCCACTCAGAGAGCGCCATGTCAGCCCCCCAGCCCAACAATGTTTGCAGGTCACTAGTTGAGGGTCCAACCTGGTCGAAAGCTCTCCAGTAGCCGGTAGGTACCAATGCGTGGGTTGACTTGGATCCCCCGAGCACTCAATCAGGAACAAAAGCTGACATGTTGCTCTTTGTTCCTAAGTGAGTGATGTATATACATATTCATCAAAAGTCTCGAAAGGAAGAACATTGTATTATCATTTGTTATGTTTTCCCTCTGTCGGATATAACATAATACGATTGTTGATGGTATGGCCTTACTCATGCATTCATGGCATACAAGCTGCGAGTTTGTGCGGCACGACCTTTTGAAGAGCGTCAACCTTTCATGCGGGAGGCCCGCGGAGGAGTCAGCAACTTCACATAAGCATCAGCGCCACATCAATGATTGTTGTCGAGGTCTTGGCTAGCTCGATTGACTCGGCCACTCAGGTCACTAGTCACGATTCGTAAGGTTGTATTGCATTACATAGTGCACAATAAGCTGCAGTCAAGACTACTGACAAGTCTTTTCCAGTCATGCCATTATTCTGTGTACCCTCTGTGTGCCTATCCCTAGGCTAGATGAACAAAATTCTCCTTGTCTATGCCTGCTTGCAACAAGACGTCTCTAACGGGCTCGGCGCGGACATCAGCGTACAATCTTTTCCCGTGAATCTGGTATAGGGCCACTGCTGTCTCAAAGTCTACTGCATGCTCAAAGGAGAACCGAAGCGGTCTTTTCATGGCCGACTCCAAGACCACATCAACACCTTCGGAAGCAGGTGGAAAAAAGGAAAGAGGTGCGAGCGCCGTCCCTTCTGCCAGGGGGTTGCTTAGAGCCTCTACTTTCTTCAAAAGTGTGTAAAGATCGGCGACCGAATTCTCCTCATACAACGTTGCTTTCCAGGCCTGAACTGCTTCCGCCAGTGAAATTTGGGAGCAAACCACCAACTCAAAAGGTGATAGCAGAAGGTGGGAGTCAGGGTTCTTCTTCACTAATAGGGCCTGCAGAGCAGACGAGAAAATGATTCAAAATGGCACATCTTCATGTGCAAACCGGCTACCATGACTCACTTAGCGGTGCAGGAGCAGACTTTGTTTCCACTCTGAGAGCTGTGATCCACTCAGCAATTCAGCAGCCTGATCTGTGTTCCCGGCGCCTTCCTCTGTGGATGCTAAGCAGTCTCAGGGTCCACTTGTTACGGTAAATAGTTATGGGTATACCAGTCGAGTTCCATAATGGAAGCTAACAAGACGGGATTGGTGTACCACTCACCTGCACTGCTAGTGAATCCAGGAAGAGAACCTTCAGACCAGGTGGTTCGACGCGTCGTCTTGCAAAAGCTCGTCTGATGGCTCTGCAGCTTTTGTCGGCGTCCGCATAGGCAGCCTTCCAGTCAATCTCTCCTTGTACGTCTGCAAGAAGGAGCCATGGTCTTGAAGAGCCTGCTGGTGCTCCCAAGCAGATTGCTTACAATCGAGGAGTATTGAGTCTCATTGTTTGAGAAGAAAAATGGAGCTGAAAGTAATGCCCCAATTGGCCTACACATGGAGGAGCCTGTCATACGATGATTATCAACCTTTTGCAAGAATGTTCGGTCAATGCCAACTGATATGGAGAATCAGCATCATGACAACAGAGCAATGGGTCCACACACCGAGCAGATCCTGTCCACTTCCTTCTTCGTCTCGGCGTCCACCTCTGCCGCTCTCATCTGGGCCCGGCGCATACACTCCTCTAGATGGAGTGTTTTGATGCGATAGATCTTCTGCGATGAGTCCTTGCTCTGCACAATAAGGGCGGGGCATGCTAGGGCTTTCAATTGGCATCTTGACGACTCTGACTCTCTGTGAACTGGCGAGTCCAATCAGTGGCAGAAGAACCTGCGGTCAATGTTAAGATTGGCAGACTCTCTCCAGAGCGAGCTATGTTTGAAGATAGGGAGTCAGCAAGGTATGGAGGTGGTGGACAAAATTCTTACCGTTTGCAGTGCAAGCTCGACCCTGTTTTGATTCAGAGCTGCTTCTGTTCGTCTCCTGGAGATAGACTGCACAGCAAAACCAAGCAAATCTGGTCAGGCTTTTAGCGTCAACTCTGTTTTGCAAAACGGACAAAGCAATAATCCAGGGACAGGAAAGGAATCATGAGTGCAAAGTGGAGGCAGAATAAAGTGGCACTGCAACGCAGCTACATTGATCGACTGCCTGCATATTAGATATTGTGATACTCAAAGGCGAATCATAGCGTGATGGCTACTGGAAAGCTTTCTTCCGCATATCTTTCTTACTTTGGCGGAACCTGGTTTCTGTCAGAAGACTCAGTTGTGCTCTGCCAAAATCTGGCATCTTTGAGAGATGACCGAAGCTCAAGTTTCGATTGGCCTGTTCAGACCAACAGCAACGTTCAACAATCAGAACATTCCAGTCAGCCTGCAAGGACAAGCATCAGGAAAGCAAGCTGCAATGATAAAAAAATTCTTTTATTAGACTGAGGCTCCAAATTGACAAGTATAATAGCAAGCTGACTGAGAAGCCAGCAGGCAAGTACAGGTAATGACAGTACACCATACCTTTGAAGCAGGCGTTGGAACGTGGAAGCCAGTCAGACCAAAGTCACGACACTGGAGCACATGTGAATTCGCCATTGATCATCTCTATCATACAAGGGATCTGGTCTGAGTCTTGCAGGTCCCAGCGCGCTTGCAGCGTGCTTCGGACAGCGCCACTTTTAGAGCAGAAACTTGGGTGTCTAAGGCCGTCCGAAATTTATTTTTCGGGTTTCCTGTCCCCCTTTTTTTGAGGATTTAAAAAGAAAAAAACCCATATAATATTCCCAGAATCTTGCTAGGAGACATGCTGGTGGTCAACAAAGTGGCCGAGAAAAACTCTCAAAACTTCAGCTAATATTCTCGAAGTTAGGCCCCGGAGACACCCCACTTGGCCAGACAGTGGCTGCGGAAAAGCCTCCAGATTTGAACCCCTGCTGACCAAATGAAGTTCACCACAAAAGTCAGCCGCGCGATGGCCGCCACGTGTACCCCCCGGCGCGGAAATCCGTCGCATCTTGAACTCCGGCGCTT